AAGTATATTCAAAATCATATGAAATATCAGTGGGCCTTGGGATTTTGCTGCCTGCCTGAATGCTTAATCTGGGCACCCCCAAACACAAACCAGGACCCCATAAATGGCATCATAAGCTCTTTAAATGTTGCTTTTCATGTAGTTTTAAAAACTCTTAATAGCCACAGGTAAATAAGGAAAAACATAAAAAAGTAGAAATTTATGAAATACAACAACCACAGCTGGGCCAGCTGCAGACTCTGCAGGAAGAAGCATCAGGGGGAAACCTGCCATGACTGATCCATTTAATCCATCTAAAATTACACAAGGTTTATTTTATACAACCCACTTTTCAGAGATGCAAACTGAGTCTCATACAGATGAGGGGATATTCACATCACGAAAACTAGATGTTGGCAGGATCACCTTGAGCCAGGGGGATGACCTAATGCCCACTTTCTGAAAAACAAGTCCAGAATGTGTTGTTTGGTGTTATGCCAGATAAGTGAGCAGGTAGGTAGTCATGTAAAGGATGGTTTTACATAGGAAGGCTGGTATCATACAACACATTATCTCAACAAATTCACTCAGAAATGGGGCTGCAGAAAGAAAGATAGTCATATGAAATATTTTTATATATTATAGCTATAACGTGATTCTAAACTGAATAGGCTGTAGCTGTCGTATTGTCATTATCTCTCTCTGATTTTACCTACTTTGTTGCAAACAGCCAGACTGTGAATTTATCATTCTTTTAAATGGAAACCACCCTCATGTTCTAGTCCTCAAATGTGTTTTTCCATTGGTCATTGATGAGCACTTGTTTTAATGATACTTTGAGGCACCTGTAAACTGCTTTCCCAGCAAAACTGATTTCTTCCATCCAAAGTCATCATACAGATTCTTTGTTGGAATGTGCTATTTCTCTTTCTGAACTCATTAAATATTTGCCATTTTTAGAAATTTGGAATCTTAATAATAGGAATATCAGAATTCAATTTAAAGTAAACTAAAAAGGACTCAGTATCTTCATTTGAGATCAAGAATGTTTTGTGTTGTTCCTGCACACTGTCTCTGATTGGGAAGGAAAGGCATTGTGCACAAATTTCCCTGCATTTCACAGGGAGATGAGGGTACAGAGCTCAAACAAAATGTAGCTCATCCAAACTTTATGGGGGTTATAGTTCTGGCCTGTAAGCCTTTGAAAAACAATTTGAAATTTTTAGGCCTCTCTTTTCTTTCCTTTTTTATTGTAGTCTTTCTACAATAAAAGTCTTTTCTTTTTTTCTAAGCCTTTTTTATTGTAGTCTTTATCTATTTACTTTTTATTTTATTCATTTCTTTATTGTTGTTCAAGTACAGTAGTCTTCTTATTTTTATAATCAGGTTGTTGGTGTTAGACTCACTGAGACAATGTTCTTAATACAGACTACCCATAAAGGGGAGCCGGTTATTCCTCAGCTAACAAAATACCTTGAAAACAATAACTGAATAATTTTCCTCACCATTAAACTCAAAGTATACAGTTACAGCTTCGAGATTTTTCATCTTGTGTACACCTGTCTTTGTGAAAACATCTTTGAAGTGCTGAGTGTTCCTAGGTACCTCTGGAAGTGTATACTTCTCCTTGTTAAACGTAATATGTCTGACATTGTATTCCTTTTTGTATCATTTATTGTGAGGATGACATCAGTTTGTCCCTGGATGAGGCTTGCACACTAAGGTCTCTCTGAAGGAATAATGCTGAAGTGCCCATACTGTCCATGGTACTAAACTTCACATATAGGACCTTCGTTTACATGACTACCTACTTTTTTTCCTTCTGACATTCAGCAACACCCAAAATAATCTGAACCAGTTTTTCACTAAGTGAGGACTGGCCAACTCCATGTCACATGGTGATGCTGCCCATTTCTAGGATGTCTTGGGGCTAAACCCTCATGTCTCTGAGCTTCAGTTTGCTTCTGTGAAAGTTGTTAGAAAATATATTTTATCTGAGTTTAGATAGATATTTTGGATCAGCCATGGCTGGTGTTTACCTGATACTTGGTTTTGCAGAATATATTGCTGCACCTACTATGCTTGTTGATCTTTATAAATTTTCACTCACTCATAAAAGGCCTTCTCCCTTCATGTTCACTTGCCTGTGGCCTTCCAAAGTTGGACAAAAATACCTAGAAAGCAACTGCCAAGGAGTTTCAGATGCCATTTATCTAGTATATGTTTTTGGTTTTGGTGTGGCCTGTTCAGAGATTTCTGGGGGTAGCTGAAAATCCCTAGATGCACTCAGATATTTGGTGTCATTTTGGATGCACTTTACTCCTTCAGCACTGTATCTTACATACCTCATTCAAGCAGGCCCACCCTGAAACACTTAACATAACTTGGAAGGAAGGAAGGAAGGAAGGAAGGAAGGAAGGAAGGAAGGAAGGAAGGAAGGAAGGAAGGAAGGAAGGAAGGAAGGAAGGAAGGAAGGAAGGAAGAAAGAAAGAAAGAAAGAAAGAAAGAAAGAAAGAAAGAAAGAAAGAAAGAAAGAAAGAAAGAGAAAGAGCAGACACAACTATTGATCTTCAGTTTGCATCAGAGGATCAGACAATCAAACCACACATCACTTGATGTCTCCTCCACATATGTCAGATATGGTATTTTCTTAGCATTCTTTGTATGTGGATGCATTTTTCAAATGTGGACTTCAGTGAAAGATCACAAGACATTAGATACAGGTTAGTGATCTTTCAGTCCAGAGAAAGCACCTCTCATTTTTACAGTACCTATCCTGAGGAGGAGATTACGGCATTATGGGTGAGAAGAACCTGCAAGTACCCTAGATTTGGTCTAAATCTTTTCTAAACTTGTTGCCACTTTGTTATTTTTTTACACTTCAACTGCTGGCCTATTCTTATGCCTTTGCATGATCAACTGTATCATCTTCATCCTGTGTCATATAGACAACCTGCAGCTAGACTCTGTGAACTTCAAACTCACAGTCAGTTGTACAATTACTGCTAAGAGCCCCTTGCTAGAGGCACCTAATTCTCACTCATCCATCTTGCTAATCTATGTAAACTTCCTTACTGTATTATTATGTGAAATGGATGGCTGGGGAAACAGACAGTTTATGGATGAAAATTAGAAATGGTATTAAGGTGTTGTGAATTTAAAGTAGCTAAAATGCCTTTTACTTTCCTTGTCTGTAATGCTGAGGTAAAATAGCATTCATTTCAAGGGTTCCTTTTGAGAATTAAATGTGATATTTAATGATTAAAGAAGAATAAGCTTATATTAAAACACGGTATTTTAAACAATTTTTAAAAATTAGACTAACTCCAAAACAGATATCCTTGATAGATATTTATAGACCATTGCATTTAAAAATGCGGGGTACACATTTTTTCTCTATTTCACATGGAAAACTTTTCAAAACAAATCTTGCACTAGGAGAAAAAACAACCCTCAATAAATTTAAAATTTTAAAGTTATTTAACCATATTTTCCTTTTCTTTTTCTAAAAGATTTTATTCATTTATTTTTAGAAAGAGTGTAGGGAAGGAAATAGTGAGGGGAAGGGGGAAATGAGAATTCACACCCTAGAGTGTGGAGAGCCATCATGCATGGGCAAGGCCAGCATTGGGTTCCAGCACCCAGAGGTGCCTGCCTGTAGACCAGGCAGACCACAGGGGGAAGTGTTCACTACTTAGATAGCCACACAACCTCCACAGGAGTTCTGGGCTTGGCCTCATGGGCCTATCCCCAGCTGTGCCTTGGTTTCCTCCCCTGTCAAGTGAGAGGGGATCACCTGCTTCCCAGGGAAAGAGAATCCATGCACCTGGACCCAGCAGTGCTACCCCACACCATCGCTCCTCTGCCCTACAAACACAGCTCCAGCCTTGTTGCATCACCAGGCTAGAACAGGGCCTGGCGTACAGCAGGCACTCCATGATTACACGGTGAATGTATGCGACCCCAGGAGCAGTTGGGCTGGGGCTCAGGGGATCTAACTTGCTGATATGGCACTGCTGCAGTTTATGGCCTTGTGCTAAGGGTACCACATCCCCTCTCACAGATGGGGAAGCTGATCCATAGAGAGGTCCAGCCACCTGCCTGAGGCCTCACAGCTACTGGCAGTGATTCAGAGTCAGAGTCCCGCAGCCTAGCCCCACCAGGCCTGGAGAGGGACCGTAGCACCTCCCTAGGGCAGCTGGGAGGATCTGCTCGGGGCGCGGGGGGGGGGGGGGGGGGACGCTTCAGTACAGACATCAGCAGATATGGTGGGAGAAGACAGAAGTCCAGGGCTTCATTCTGGAAGGGGTCAAAAGCAGCCGTTCCTAGCAGCCCAGTCAGGATTAGGGTCAGGACAGGACACAGTGCCCCCCATCTTGGAGTACCAGCCCTGGGAGAGAATGCCCCGGCCCCTCCCGCCCCACACGCCTTGGAGTCCCAAGCTCTGGGAAAGCTGACCTAGGGCTGGAGAAACCAACGGTTCTGGCTGCCCCCACCCCATGGACAGGCACAGGGTGCTGCTCCAGGCAAAGGGGTCCTGCCTTACACCTGGGGACACAGAAGCTGTTCCACTGGGCGAGGGGGAGCGTGCGGGAGGCCTTTGTACCCGATTTCCTGGATGGAAAGGTCCGGGCTTGGAGGCTGGAGACCGAGTCAGGGAGCACAGGCGGCCTGGTTGACGCAAGGTGTGCTTGGCGGACCCCCAGGGTTTGCAGCCGCAGTGGCACCACCACGCTTTCCTTCAAGGGGCTCCCGGCAGTTTGCGAAGTGGCCAGGATCTTGGCCTCATTTTACGGCTTAAAAGTGTCCGTGACGGGGAACGCGGAGGAGGACGTGCCTCCCCCTGGACCACCTGAGGCCAACGCTGAGAAGCCAGGAGGCAGCGCGGAGTCCCACTAAGTGGGAGTGCAGTTGTTAGTGTTTCCCTAGCAAGGCCTCCAGGGCCCAGACTAGCCGCGACTGGGGGCGGAGCCTAGGACCACAGCGCTGGGTCCCGGCGGCTTAGGCGTCCAAGGGCGGTCCCGGGCGGTCCGGGGGAGGGCCCGGGCGGGCGCGGTCCCGGGCCGAGCGCGTACCCTGGTGCCCGCGGGGAGGTACGGGTAGCGTGGTGCCTTAGAGTGAAGCGGTCCGGAGGCCGCGCCATGGACTCGGTCCCTGAAGAGTACGAGCTCAATGGCGACCTGCGCCCCGAATCGCCCCGATCCCCGGACGCCTCGGTAAGCCCTGCCCCGGCACCGCTGAACGATCCAGGCGCGTCCCCGCCCTCTACCTCTAAGGGCTTCGCGCCCAGTCTCCCGGGCACGATTGGGCTATGGCCAGCTGCGCACCGCCGACATGCTGTGTGGTGCCGGGGGTCGCAGCGCCCAGTGCGCCCTGCGCCTCACTCGCACCCTCAGGTGCCCGAATGGTGGCCCGGGCTCCAACCACTCCAGCCAGTGAGCGGGAACGCGGGACCAGGGCGCTGTCGGGCTGCCAGCTAGGCCCAGCTAGGTGGTGCTCACGCCTATCACACGGTCTTCCCCGCTCCCGCACTACCCTCTAACTTCCAGTCGCCGTATCTCCTCCCACTGTGCGCACTGGGTCGGCAGGGAGTACCCTAGCCTCCGGGCCCTAGGCCAGCAGCGGGTAGACAGTTACGTCACCCAGGGTGTCCTCGGGGACCGCACAGTCTGTTGCCTGCCTTGATGTGGAACTTGGGGCCACTGTGGTCCTGCCCCTCTCTCCTCCCGAAGCCCCCTGCAACCTGTTATCGTCTGCCCTATCGATCAAAGAGTGTGGTAGGCACCAGGCAAGCACTGGCAGTGGTCCTGCCCTCGCATTAGAGCCGGTGCCTTCCCGCTGCTGAGTCGGGTCCCGCTGCTGGGCGGGGCCTGAGCAGTGGTCTGCCACTTCAGAGGCCTAGCAGTCCCTGCTTGCGAAGCAGTCCTGGGCACAGCCCTCTGCTTGGTTGACTTAGGACATTCAGTTTCTGATCCCCTGGGGATGGGGGTAGAGCCAGTGGTGTCTCTTCAGTGTGAACCTGACTGGGGCAGAGATGATAATGCCCAGGTGTGAGTGACTAGACAGGCTATGTTGGGGTTGGGGGAAAGGGGAGTCTGATGTGGGGCAAGCAAGGTCCAAGGCAGCCTGGATAACCCTCCAGGGAGCCCCTGGTCCCACACAATAATCATCTCCATTCTTCTCCATAGTCATTCCAGGGCCCCAGCCACCTTGCTGGCCCTTTAGTAAAGCCTGACCACCCTGAGATTGCCCAGAATGTTTGTTCTGGGTTAAAGATCAGAAAACTGAGGACTGAGAGGAGCCCACATGTGTCCCTGCACTGACATGTGAACACTGGAACAGAGGGCTTGGTGTGCTTGGGGAGGCTGCCTCCCCTCACTGGGCCTTCTGTCCATGGTCTGAAAAGGAAGAACAAATGACCACTGCCTGCCTTCAGGGAGTGGGGGGAGCAGGTCAAATAACAAACAGGGCAGGTTAGTTGGAAGTTGGTTTGAAAAGGAGGGATCCTATTAACCTCCCAGCCTTGGCTACACCCTTCCCTCTAAACCTGTTCTGCTCACCTCATCCAGGGAGCACTGCATTGGCTCTGGGAAGGGATGGGGGGCTGGGAGGAAGAGACACTGCAACCTGCGAGCAGAGCAGACAGAGAAGCCTCTGCCAAAGCTGTGAACTCCCAGGGGCTGGGCGTAGTAGTCATGGGAATGTAACATCAGCTCTGGGCCTTGGAGGACTGGAGTGGGGTACAGGCATGGCCCTCCACCATGTGGGGAAGGGCATCTCAGGCAGAGGGAGCTGGGAGAGAAAGGCCCAGAGGCTGGGCCACCCAGCACATTGGGGCTAGAAAGGAGGTGTGATAAGAGTGTCATAGGTCAGGCCCTGCTAGGAGCCCATGTGAGTAAACACATTCATCCAGCAGTCTTCAGTCACAGGCAGGGAAACTCCTAGAGGGGTGGCCAGCCTCAAGGCCACTCAGCTTACCAGCCCCCTGGGAGTGAGTTGGTGTCTTTATTAAGTCAACTCACTTTTGCTGCTGGCAAGGGAATGCTTTTAATTTTATTGTGAAAGTGGCTCAGGGCTGTGTCATGCCCCAGATGTCTTGGTTTGGGAGCTCTGTTGGACCCTGCAGCAGATGCTGGGATTGTGGCCCCCTGAGGACACAGCACGGCGGAGGTGGTGGGACAGTGTAGGAACAAGGCTCTAGAGGCCACATCTGGGCCATGCACAGCCTGAGTTGTTGGGGGAACTTTGCTCTTCTCATTTTTGCTTTTCCAGCAGATCCCTAGGCTAACAGGGTCCTGGCCAAGTTCTAAAAGGTGACTCTTATGTGGCCACAAGGTCACTGACGGTCAGTGCTGAGCCCACAGGAAGTGGGTGTGCCCAGCGCATAGCCCAGCTGCCACCGGAAATACCCCATCCCCCATCCCCCACCAAACTTCCTGCATGGAGCAGGAGACTTTTTGGCTGGTCAAGTGGGGACAGTTCCTGGGTGTGGGCCTGTGTGGCCCCAGGCAGTGCCTTTGCACAGCCTGTGCAGTGGGTGCAATGGCAGCTCAAGCCCTGGTGGGTCAGACAAGGGACACTCAGTCCCTGCCAGAGCCAGTTTGTTCTCAGTTCCCACCCTGAAGGGAAGGACACCAGAGCCTCCACGTATACTGGTGCTGAGCCCAAGGTGGGGGTTCCCTGTGCAGGAGGGGCTTTGGTGTGCCAACAGCTGGAGCTGGACACCTATGTCCCCCCTGTGTCGTTTGGCTTGCACAGTCCTGTTCCCCAGGCTTGTTCTTTTTCTTCCTTGTTACAGGTTTGTTTTATGAAGTTATTTAACTGATGTTGTTCCTTTGGGAGACAGTCTTTGAAAGTTATGAGGGTTGGGTGGCAAGGAGGACTGTCTGGCCCTGCCCCAGCTGACTGTGCTCTAACTAGCCCCCAGGTCTCTTGAGCCCCTCCTTCAGTTCTCTGTCAGCTCAGTTTACAGATGTGAGGAAACTGAGGCACAGGGCAGTCACCCTCAGGTCTATGACATGGTGGGATGCAGGAATGATAGAGGGGAGATGCCAGTAGCAGCCTCACCTAGCTCCTAGCAAGCCAGCTGATGAACCTCATAGATTTGTTGGGACCCTTGGTCTCTCAGCAAACATGAAAATGGACTGTGGGAAGACAGGCGGGAATTCCCATGCTGTCTCCATGTTCCATACTATACTCAGGGTTTGGGGTCCATGGCAGAGTGGAGGTCAGGCAGGATTGATAGGAGTCAGTAACCAAACGTCTCAGGTCTGCAGGACTTCAGTGGGCCTCAGCCCTGGCCTGGCCTCCCAGGGGAACCAAGGGTGTGGGGGCTGGAGGCTCAGGTTGGGTCAGATAATCTGGGGCCAGCTGGTGCCCCAGGCAGCCCCCCATCTTTTCCCATTTGAGCCTGGGTTGGACCAGAGCATACTTTATACTGTGACCAGAACTGGGTGCCCAGGGTGCCACAGACCTGAGTTCAAATCCAGTCCTAATTCCCCTTCTCTCAACCTGAGGATGCCCACCAGTGTGTTTTTGGACGAAATGGCCTGGGTCCCTGCAAACTGCTTGCAAAGAGCAGCTATAAAACCCTTTGTCCACAGAAGGTGGGCAGCTCTGCATAGAGTCAGCTCCTTGTCTCCAAGGCTCCTTCCTGGCTTTTAGGGGGGAAAATCCAGTAGCCCAGCTCCTGGGACCATAGTTGACATTTTGGGAAGTTTTGTTGTCCCAAGAAACACAGGGTATCAAAGGCAGGGGTGTCCAGAGAAAGTTGCCAGACCACACTCTGGCAGGCAGTCACTGGTGGCACTTTCCAGTCTGAAATCAGTGTGCTGAGGTTATATTTATGTTTCCTTTCTCTCCCAGGACTTGATTTCTAGGGAGGTTCTTGCAGGGGCTGCACAGCCTTCTCTGGGCCTCTTGTTCTGTTAATAAGCACTTCCCTGTCAAGCCTCACCTGGGCCCACACCTGCAGGCCATCAGCCCCCACTTTCCTGCCCATTTCAGGAGGAAATCTGGGTGGGGACCTGGAATGGGCTCAGGCCTGCAGCACCTGCTTGCTCCCTGTGGCCAACCAGCTAACTGCCCCCTCCCCACAGCCACCCCGCTGGGGCAGGAGCCAGCCTATCAACGTGAACCATTATGCCAACAAGAAGAGTGCAGCAGAGAGCATGCTGGATATCGCGCTGCTGATGGCCAATGCCTCTCAGTTGAAGGCCGTCATCGACCAGGGCCCTAGCTTCGCCTTCTTTGTCCCTTTGGTGGTACTCATCTCCATCTCCCTTGTGCTGCAAATCTGCGTGGGCGTGCTGCTCATCTTCCTGGGTATGTGCTTAGACAGGTGCTAATGCTGAAAGGGCCATGCAGCTCTGCCCCATGCCTGGCTGATTCTGTTTGCAAACCTCCTGGGATAGGGTGCTTACCACCTGACACCCTCTGAGCATGGAGCTCTCACAGAACTGCACAAGGTAGGGTGGGACTCTTTACTTGATTATGAAGTCCAGGATGTGGCCCCCAGAGAGCCTCCCATGGCTCTGTCCTTCCAACCCCCCAAGCTGAGAATGCAGAAAAATATCATAACATACTGAGAGTTGACATGTATTGAGTGCCTACCATGTATGTGTCTAGTTCTTACAATGGTCTACAAAGACTAGATGGTGTTCCCAGGATCCCTGTCCCCCGAGTGAAGGTCAGGGCTAGGAGCAGTAAAGACTTCAGGGTTGCCTCCACCTCCTCCTGGCTGTGTAACCTCAGGTAGGTCACTTGACCTCCTGGCCTTGGTTTCCCTGCCTATAAAGTGGACATAAAGACAGGGCCTTGAGTAAATGTGAGGATCACTACATCACCACATACAAGACACTCATTAAATGTGCTTGTCTCTGTGTGCTCAGCACATTGTGCCTTGAAATCCAAACCTGGGCCTTGGGTTGGTGCCTCCCACTCTGTGTCCACAGGTGCCAAGCCCCTCTGAGGTCCCATCCAACCAATGTCACAGGCCATACCCACTGTCAGTAGGGCATTAGAGCAGACATGTCTCTCTGATGGACAGAGTGGGCCCTGCAGCATTCTTGGATCCAGTGCAGGTAGCCTGGGCAGTGTCCATACCTTCTCTCCCACAGTCAGATACGACCTCAACAACCCAGCCAAGCACGCCAAGCTGGACTTCCTCAACAACCTGGCCACTGGCCTGGTTTTCATCATCGTTGTGGTCAATATCTTCATTACTGCCTTTGGTGTCCAGAAGCCTGTACTGGATGTGGCACCACGGCAGTAGGGATCAGGTGAGTTGTGAGGGCCAACCTGGGCACTCCACCCCACAAGCCTGCCCCCAAACCCTGCTGGCCACTGACACATGAGCAGGGCTGAGGCTTGGGGCCTTTCATACAGAGCCCCCTTGACCTTATGTTTGCTCCTGCTCTGGCTTCATGGGGTGGGCATCCCAGCTGTACATTCCCATACCACACTCAGCCCTCACCCTTCCTCATAAAGGCTGAGTACCTTTAAAAGTCACCTCACTGGGGAGCAGGAGCCAAGGGAGGCCAGGTGACCCTTATAACATGCTCAACAAAGCAGCCCCTACTGTGTGGAACCAGTGAGTTCAGACACAGGCACCCTGAGTGTTGCGAAGGCAGATACAGAAGGTCAGCCGAATTCAACACTCTCCTGAGCTTGATGTCATCAACCAGGCCTTGGGGTACCAGTGTCTTGCAGTTGGGACCCTGGCCAGGGCTGCACACCACAGATCCATGTGACCTGTGGCCCAGTGATCATGCCACAGGCCTGCCCCAGAGACAACTGTTTATCCCCCAGGGATGTCCTATGTATGGCAGAATGGCAACCCCACCCAACCATCTGGATGCCAGTTTGTCCCCTCATTCTTGGCATGACAACCAAACCATTAATTGCTCAATGTATACCCCAAACACACCCTGACTTCCCAAGCATGTCCTTTTGGCATGATTCCCTTGCCAGTCCCTGCTCTCTGAGGTCACCCAGCAGAGTGTGCTAGTACCTAGCCACTAAATCTTCACAGTGACCCAAGAGGGAAAACTGAGACTTGCCTAGATCAGAATTGGGACCTTTTGGAGTCAGTGGTCCTGACACTTTATGGACTGATCACAGAACACATCACTAAGGCAGAGTCACCAGTATGGCACCGGGGCCCCACTGACCTGGGCTGCCCTCACACCTCTCCTCTCCTTTGCAGTGGCCTGGAAAGCCGTCTCACCCTTGAGGCCTTGCCTGCTTACATGCCGCGGTCCCTGGAAACACCAAAGCTGGGACTGGACTAGAGGACACTTGGGCCAGTGTGAGGCCTGCTCTGTGCTTGATTGCTCCTCCTCCTGGAACAGGGATAGTGAGGTCCAGCAAGGCCCAGCGGGCAGAATTGGAGAACCCCAAGAAAGGTCACAGCCAGCACAGACACACAGCAGGCCTGAGGAGGGGCAGCAAGCAGCCAGGGCCAGCCTTAGTCTCAGGATCTTCTCAGAGGGACCAGGAGATGCCCCCCTTAGCCAGTGTACCCTTGGGAGACCCATGGCCTCTGCTCTTCCTGACCCAGGCCCCAGCCATGGCTGTGAGCCCTGCATATACCTTCCACCAGTAGTAACTGGGTGAGGTCTGGGGCCTGAGCCCACTTTTCTAAGCACAAATGACCAATAAAATGGATGCGTCTTCTGTGCAGCTTCCAGCACCACTGTCCCTCCCCTGGGCCTGGCCTTCACTGCACCCTGAGCCCCAGCCTGGGCTAGCCTCCCTCCTGGCACTGAGCAGTCATGGAGACATGCTTTCATTTCTGGGCCTTCTCCAGAACTGTGAGCTTGGGCAGCTCCTTGGTGCCTGACGTCTTGGGTCCAATATTCAGGCTGAGACCAGGGTTTTGGGTCTCCAGTGTCCAGTGTCTTCTATTTTTTTACTTCAGAGCACAGAAGAATGGTTCCAGGAGCTTCCAGTAGCCCAGCCCAGAGGCTGCCTGGCAGAGAATCCCACCATGGCCATCATTTGCTGTATTGGGAGCCTGCCCGCAAGTGTCACTTCCCACCCAGCTGGGGCTCCAGTGAGTGGCACACACTGATGTTAAAAACTTCAGTTGCATCCTGCCATAAATGGGCTCACTGCCCTGAGCATACATGATGACCAGGTCAGAGGAACAGCCCGGACACAATGTTGCTGTCTACACAGCAGACTCATTCATGTGTCGCCAGGCTTCCCACTAGCTCATTTGTAGCAGGACAGAACAAAACCCCAAGGTCCCACCCCCTGCTCTGGTTCAGGGGCTCCCAGGAACTTCCTTGGATCTGGTTCAGGTGGGGCATTTTTAAGGTGACTGGCTCTGGGTGCCTGTGTCAGGGCTGGAGGTGGGCATGACTGATCCCCATGTCACCTTGGGGGTCAAGCCAAGACTGGACCCTCTGCAAGGTGTTAAGGGAAGAATGGCAGGCAGGATGAGCTATTGGGGAAACTCCCTCCATTGGCACCTCCAGATGTCACCCCTACTGTCCTCAGGGCACTTAGCCTGGTGAACCCTGACCAGACCCTCAGGAAAAATTCCAGCACTCTCACCATTTCCTGCAGCCCACATGCCACCTGTCTTCCCTCAACACCCACAGCCGTGACCCACCCTGATGTGGTGCCCAGCATTGCTTTTCAGTCATGCTTAGTGGGCCAAGGAGAGTAGGGCTGGTGCCAGGTAGGCTGAGACCCTACAGAGACCCCCAAGGGCCAGGTGCCATCTCTGGGGTTTGGCCCATCTTGAGGGTCTTCACCTCACCTGACTGGAATCCCCCCTTCCTCTATTCACCCCAGAGGCCTCCAGGACCTGAACCCCCCCCCCTCTCTGCCCCTTATCCCCTCCATCATGACCCTGCTGCCCCACCTCCTCATCTCCTTGAGGTGGCAGTCCTGGCCACATCTGGTACCCTCCAAGAGCCTGGGATACCTGGGAACCCCTGTGGGCTTTGCCCCTCCTCCTCTCCCCATTGCTTCTCTTCACACCCATCTGAGCCTGGGGTAACTCTGACACCCTGTTTCCTTAAGATGTTCAAGTGACCCTGCCATCTGATCTGTGGAGCCGAAAGATCAGCTTGGCACCACATGATGGATAAACATTAAGTGCTTGTGGGTGAGACATTCAGTCCTGGGCTTTGCTTTTAAATACTCCAGGAATAAGCATAGGAAATGATGAAAGAGTGTTAAGAAGTACTGGTGACTAGAGTTGGTGCCACAGGATGAGACCGCTCTGGTGAGTGAGTACCCCAAAAAGAGGGTTTTTAAAGGTGAGCCCATGAGGGATGAGGTCCAGGAAAAAGCAAGTGGGCAGTGGGTGGACACATTTCTGGCTAGTGGGGCAGGTATAAAGCTGTACGTGGGACCAGGCTCTGGAATGGTAAGGTTCTCAGACTCATGCCACTTCTCTTGCTATCACTGTGAGCCCACATTACCTTCCCCTCTTGCTTTTTGACAGGAAGCAGCAGGTGGTTAGGCTCCTAGCTATGAACTGCCCCAGCTTCTGGCCCTTGGCCCAACCTATTTGGTGTGCCTTGTTGCATCCCCTTTGCCCATGCTCCTAGCTATCGCAGTATGTCCAGAAGTGTCTGGGCCCATCCCCCCCCCAGGTCGAGCTCTACCCAGGGCCTGGCACAGGTGGACTCCACCTGCGCCTTGTTCCTGAAGTGGCCTGTGGTGTGGCTAGCCAGCAGCCACAAGGGAGAAATATCAACCTGTGTGCTGGTCTTATGAGGCAGCACCTCAGATGTGGCCAACAGATGGCTTGGCTCCTCCTTTAGCCATGATCAGGAGTTTGCCCAAACATAGTAGCCAGAAGGAGATAGCCCCAGGTGGCTGGACAGAGTACTGGACCACCAAACCAGCCTGGCTTCCACAGGTGCTTGTGGGCATTGGGGACAGGTCAGGGTGTGCTTCCCAGCCCCAACAGCCCCATCCTAAGGTGCCTTCACCAGGCACACATGATGACACTTCATCCCCTCCCACCCACTAGCTCCCAGGATCAAACCTCAACTGCCACTCTGGCACCCTGATCCCTCACTCCACATATATCCTCATGTTGGGACTTGAAATATTCTGCTACTTTCTGAAGATAGAGCTCAGCCCTTAGTTCCTTCCCATAGGCCCCCCAACTCCCCTCCCCTACTGGTCACTGTCACAGGGAGCCATTGGGGTTTACTTGGCTTTTAGTACTATGAGCTAGCCTCACTGACCACCATGCCCCCCTTGCCATTGTCTGAAGCCCACCCATCCTTGCCATGCTGGCCTAAGACCAGGGCTGTCCCCCACGAAGGAAGGTCCTGCCCACCAGTCTCCCCAAGGGCAGAGGGGTTCTGCCTGAAATGGGGGAGGTGGGCCCCATTCATGCCTGTGCTTCTGCATAGGACTTTGGTCTAGCCTGGGTCTTCCACCAGATGCCACCACCCATGGCCTGTGTCTAGCATACAGTAGGTACTCAGTAAGTGTCAACAGCATTTGCTCACTCATGCATGTGTGCTGAGGCCCAGGGTGGGTCAGAGCAAGGCCAGCCTCCCTGGTGTGACAACTCTCAGGAGCTTCTCCTGAGCCCTAACACCCTACTCCTGCCCTCCACCCTGTGCTCCCACCCTGAAGCTTTATCCTCCCAGGGGGACATCAGAGACCCTGAGAGTGAGCAAGGGACTTGAGGAGCAAGAAGATGCAAACGTGGAGATGGGGGGATGTCATGGAGGGACACACATAGAGAAGGGCATTTGGGGAAGTCTCAAGAATGATGCTTGATGTCTGATGACAGGATGGAACCTTGTGGAGGATAAGACCTGAAAGCTTGTGACCAGGGCCTGGATCTGAGCCTGGGCTGGTCAGGTGGGGGAGGGAGCTGTCATGTGAAGCTGGAGTGGGGTGGTAGGTGAGACATGGTGGGGAAATTGTATGCTTAACCTTCTTACTGTAAAAGATAGATGATGATGGATGAGTGGACCAAGAAATGATCAATTAATTGATTGGTAGGTAATTGATTGATGATAGATGAATGATAAGTGGATGGATATAGGGAGATACATAATTGAATACTTGATCAACAGAGAAAAGATAAATGGATAAATAAAGGAGAGATGATAGGTGGTAGATTGACAGATAAATGATAGATGATGGACAGATAGGAATAGGGGTGAGGAAGTAGCTATGTAACAGTTAAAATCCAGGCAGGGCCCCTCCATCCCTGGGGAGCTGGTATCTCCTCAGGCTCAGGTCCCCTACATACAACCCAAGACACCACAGTTTACTCCTGCCCAGTTCAAACCCTGGCTGTCCCCTAGGTGTGGGTCACTCTACAGGCTTCCCTCACCTGCCTCTTCATCCTCACCATCCACATTTGAGACCCTGGCCCACTTGACAGGTGCTGAGGAAGGAGAAAGGACAGGACAGGTCAGGTGATCCTCCTCACCCCAAGGAGGTGACAGCCACAGAAGGTGAAGCCAGTGGATTGAAAAGGTGACCATTTGCTTTCACATCTGCCACACTCACCTGCCTGTTTTCCTCCTCCTTCCCTCAGGTGCCTTCCAACTACCTTTAATTGATTTTAATGCTTTTTCCTCATGCCAATACTTTTAAAAATCAGGAAGCTAAATGTTTGAATTTTTTTCTTCTTTCTCAAGGATTTATTTCAGTAGTAAACTAAGTAAGCTTCTGGGTCTATGGGGCACAAGGAACTGCCCCAGGGCAGCAAGGCCCCTCCCTAGCCCCCAGCCCCTGTTCTTGGTGTCCTCTCAGTTGGGAGATAGGCTCAGTCTGCCTTCAGATAGGACAAAAATCAATTGTCCCAACTGCCACCTGGCCAGTGCTGAGGAAGGGCCACCAGTCCCTAAAATGGGTCCCCTACTTGCCCCTACATGTAACCTGACCTAAGCTCCAGCAGGCAGGCCTTGGAGCAGGACAGGCCCATCTAGATTTTCATCTCCTGAGCCCCCTCCAAGTCAAACCCCTCACAGATGCTCATCTGTGGGTCCCAGGGCCCTGGCCTAGGGCCTGGGGTTTGAGTAGAAATTTGGGCAGGGGGATACAGGCGAACATGGCTGGGCCGGGTTTACTCTGAACACTGCCTCAGAGTGCTGACTAGTGGAAACTATAAATACCACCCCCAATTCCAGCAGAGTCAGCGCCCCCTGCTTGGACCCCGTGCCTGCAGAGTCAACAGCACCCTCTTGCCAAGGGGAACCCTGAATTGTGCAAGATGCAGCTGCATTCCAGGCTCTGAAAACATGACCTCATGTCATACACAGCTCGTGACCATCTCTCTCCTGGGCAGGAGTAACTGGGACTCAAACTCCCTCCCTCACAGGCACAGTCATCAATCACATACATGCCCTCCTTCACAGTACCCTGCTCCCAACACACTCACCAACTCCCTGCCTAACCAACTCTTCACACTAGTGGGTCATGGTCATTGACATCAATTTAACACAAACAGGAATCCCCAATTTGGGGTGCAGTGTAGAAGTAAATGAAATTATTGAGTGCAAACAACTAAATTATCAAGAGTGGCTATGAGGCCCTGGGGAGGACAGCTCTGCTCTGCTCAACTCTGGTCTGGTGAGATATCTTGGGTGTTATATCTTTGGTGTTTCAACTCCAGGGAAAAGCAATCTTCAGTTGAAAGGGAAAGTGTAACCCAAGGGCAAGCTGACTATATATAT